CCACAGGCTTTAAAGGGATGATTTTGACCATATATGGTTAATTAGGGGTGTTTTGGAATTCAAATAGCCAAGGTCGTGCACGAGCACTGAGGCTGAGAACAACTGATATTTATCAATGGTTATCTCCTACCGGTGTGTATGACGGTTGTAGGATTGTTTGATAAATCACACTTTTTCTATGTGTGCGAACATTCTAAATTCCATTTGTAAGTAGTATTTTAGAATAGTTTCTAGGCAATATGGATAAATGAGGCCCCAGATGAGTAAATATCTGACATGGGGTGGATCTGGAGATGAACACTCCCGTCTAGACTACTGCAACTCTTTGTTGGCTGGGCTCCCCGCTTGTACCATCAAACCCCTGCAACTTATCCAGAACGCCGCAGGCCACCTGATGTTCAACCTTCTTCAAGACCCTGGTGCTTGCCTACAGAACAGCAAGGGGAACTGCCTTCAGGCTATGCTCAAACACTACATCCCAACCAGAGTACTCTGTTCTGCCACCTCTGGTCTCTTGGCCGTCCCACCCTTTTGGGAGGTCCCAAGGTGTGATATGTGGTTGTCCCACCTAGCTATCTTAAGATGGAATGCACTAATTGCAAGTCACTCTGGATAAGAGCGTCTGCTAAATGACTAAGATGTAAATGACCCAGAAGCCATTAGGGGTCTTCCCTGGTGTTCGTCAGGCAGGTCAACCAGATACTAGTGAGATTAATGTTAATCTGTGGGGCGGGGGTCCCCCCAGCCTCCCTAACAGGGTGTGCCTGTTTGTCCAGGGACTGGTTGGTTGTGTAACAGCTACTGATCCAGGCAAAGCCGGTTAGCACCCTTAGAAACCAGGACTGGCTTACCAAGATCCACCACAGGCCTGGGAAAGGCCCTAATCCGACACTCACACGCACATACACAGCCACACACTTACAACACTAATGTTTATAAAACACACACCACACGTGGTAAGACCACATACCGACCCCGCAGGTCAGGACCGTCTCTTACAGTAAGTGGTTCACTGGTGGGCTCATCATCCTGTTATAGAAGTAATACTCTCATCTTTCCTCTTTCCTCTGCCCTCTGCCCTCTCTCACCTCTCCTCTCCTCTTACTATTCTCCTCTCTCTCTTCCCCCTCCTCAAACCTCCCCTGTCACATGACCCGGGTTATCTACACCAAGACACATTCCTATCAACACTGTGGAAAATGTCAATACATTTCTGATTCCGATCTGTGACGTGGTGGGTTCTGGAGATTTAATTTAGTTGAAGTTTGGTTGAAGTCTAGATGTGTAGAGAAAGAATGTGAATCAAGTGTAGATCTTGCATAATCATGTGAATGTGAAATCCTTGTTAAGGTATGGATATGAAGTTGGGTTTTCTTCTGTTATGTTTAGCACTGGGTCATGAGGCTTGAATAAAGATCACTTATGTAATTCTACTGCATATACAGTGAGGGAAAAATGTATTTGATCCCCTGCTGATTTTGTACGTTTGCCCACTGACAAAGAAATGTTCAGTCTATAATTTTAATGGTAGGTTTATTTGAACAGTGAGAGACAGAATAACAACAAAAAAATCCAAAAAAACGCATGTCAAAAATGTTATAAATTGATTTGCATTTTAATGAGGGAAATAAGTATTTGACCCCCTCTCAATCAGAAAGATTTCTGGCTCCCAGGTGTCTTTTATACAGGTAACGAGCTGAGATTAGGAGCACACTCTTAAAGGGAGTGCTCCTAATCTCAGTTTGTTACCTGTATAAAAGACACCTGTCCACAGAAGCAATCAATCAATCAGATTCCAAACTCTCCACCATGGCCAAGACCAAAGAGCTCTCCAAGGATGTCAGGGACAGGATTGTAGACCTACACAAGGCTGGAATGGGCTACAAGACCATCGCCAAGCAGCTTGGTGAGAAGGTGACAACAGTTGGTGCGATTATTCGCAAATGGAAGAAACACAAAAGAACTGTCAATCTCCCTCGGCCTGGGGCTCCATGCAAGATTTCACCTTGTGGAGTTGCAATGATCATGAGAACGGTGAGGAATCAGCCCAGAACTACACGGGAGGATCTTGTCAATGATCTCAAGGAAGCTGGGACCATAGTCACCAAGAAAACAATTGGTAACACACTGCGCCGTGAAGGACTGAAATCCTGCAGCGCCCGCAAGGTCCCCCTGCTCAAGAAAGCACATATACAGGCCTGTCTGAAGTTTGCCAATGAACATCTGAATGATTCAGAGGAGAACTGGGTGAAAGTGTTGTGGTCAGATGAGACCAAAATGGAGCTCTTTGGCATCAACTCAACTCGCCGTGTTTGGAGGAGGAGGAATGCTGCCTATGACCCCAAGAACACCATCCCCACCGTCAAACATGGAGGTGGAAACATTATGCTTTGGGGGTGTTTTTCTGCTAAGGGGACAGGACAACTTCACTGCATCAAAGGGACGATCAAATCTTGGGTGAGAACCTCCTTCCCTCAGCATTGAAAATGGGTCGTGGATGGGTATTCCAGCATGACAATGACCCAAAACACATGGCCAAGGCAACAAAGGAGTGGCTCAAGAAGAAGCACATTAAGGTCCTGGAGTGGCCTAGCCAGTCTCCAGACCTTAATCCCATAGAAAATCTGTGGAGGGAGCTGAAGGTTCGAGTTGCCAAACGTCAACCTCGAAACCTTAATGACTTGGAGAAGATCTACAAAGAGGAGTGGGACAAAATCCCTCCTGAGATGTGTGCAAACCTGGTGGCCAACTACAAGAAACGTCTGACCTCTGTGATTGCCAACAAGGGTTTTGCCAACAAGTACTAAGTCATGTTTTGCAGAGGGGTCAAATACTTCCTGGATTTTTTTTTTGTTATTCTGTCTCTCACTGTTCAAATAAACCTACCATTACAATTATAGACTGATCATGTCTTTGTCAGTGGGCAAACGTACAAAATCAGCAGGGGATCAAATACTTTCTTCCCTCACTGTATATATTTAGAATAAACAGTATTACAGCATGACTTTGGCCAACTTTACACGTGGGCTTAAACTGTTTGAAATGTCAACATTGTTGACCTAAAATGAAGCCACAAGACTAGTCTCTCTCTCTCTCTCTCACTCTTGCTCTCTCTCTTTCACTCTATTTAGCAGTCAGGTTATTGAGTGTGCGTGTGGGTTTGAGCGTCAGGGTAATTAACAGAGTTTTACCTTGTTAGTTACTGTACCATGTTTCTAATTTCCACTGAGAGCCTGGGGGTATCCTGTGTTCTCTCCTTGGGTTTCCCTCACAATCTCACATGCAGCGAACGTACAATGATCTTCTGGCGTCACGTTACTGTATGCTCTGGAGAAACTCTTCTGTTCTGTTCCACTCTTCACCTCTCCTCTTGTCATTAGAACATATCCTATTCCACCTTTCAGAGAACTGTCATCCACCTGATGAGGTGATACCTCAGTCAACTCCTGATATAATGCACTAAACTTGAGCCTGCAGATAGCCAGAGCCATTAGACACTCTTAGAAAAAAGGTGCTATCAAGAACTTTAAAGGGTTATTCGGCTGTCCCCATAAGATAACCCTTTGAAGAACCATTTTTGTTTGCAGGTAGAACCCTTTTGGGTTCCATGTAGAACCCCTTCTACAGAGGGTTCTACATGGAACCCAAAAGGGTTCTCCTATGGGGACAGCCGAAGAACCCTTTTGGAACCTTTTTTTCTAAGAGTGCAGATAATGCACGTGAAATGGTGAACTGCAATTCACTTACATTTTTGCACTTACCCACTTACTGGTATGTGCACTGATAAGGAATCGACTTATGGCTGACGAGTTAGAGCCAGGGGTACAGGGAATAAATAGGTCCAATGTATATCACACCATATCATGTACAGTATATCATATTGGAACCTATGAGGCAGTCAGGGATAAACTTTGCTCTGTGCATGTGTACTGTATACAGACAGAGATATGCTCCGTCTAGGTGTAAACAGTAAGGTGTGCTCGTCACAGTTGTATTGAGTTTAGAGTGAGTATATTTTCTCCGTGGCCAAGAACATCTCTCTAGCTCTCTCTCTTTCTCTTTCTCTCTCTCCCTTCCTTCCGCTCTCTGAGGAGATGTTGGCTCAGACTCGGATCATGTCTAAATGACTGAACTTCACACGCCAGATTAGCTTCATAACCTTTGACCCCCTTGCTTCTGTGGATCAGACGGAACACTGTCACCATGGTAACGTGTTCAGAGTTGGTGTGGATCTCTAGGGCATTGGAGGAATCTGCTTTTATAAAGCCCTTATTAGTGTCTGTCCTCCCTTCTAGCTCATACATTGTTTATCAAGATGAAAGGTAGGTAATACTCTCAGATAGATGAGAGGGGCATTATGGAACAATGACAGATTATCATGCTCCTCTTTCTGGTGTGTGTGTGTGTGTGTGTGTGTGTGTGTGTGTGTGTGTGTGTGTGTGTGTGTGTGTGTGTGTGTGTGTGTGTGTGTGTGTGTGTGTGTGTGTGTGTGTGTGTGTGTGTGTGTGTGTGTGTGTGTGTGTGTGAGAGAGAGAGTGAGAGAGCTGCGTGCGTCTATATAGTCTTGCTTAGTGTGCATTTTAGGCCAGGTTTATGGGAGTGGATGATTACTCCTGTGCCAGTCTGTGAGTGTCTCTGAGCTCTTCCTTATCATAGGGAAGCTTGTATCTCTGCATTGCTTTGCAGGGCACTCTAGGTTCACCGTGGTCAGCTGACTCAACCATTGCTTGGCCTCCCTCCTTTATCTATCTCACGGTCAGCTATTTTAGTAGGCCGTTTCCAAGGCCACAATTAACCTGTGACATCTGCAGTTAAAGAGATGTAGCCAAGTCTTATCATTGATGACGCACTAGTAGCCTATGTTATAGAGGGGGGCCACTGTACTGTGAGGTATATGATAAGCTTGGGCCTTGTAATCATATTCCAGATGGCTAAGAATGATGAGTGGAGTAGTTGGTGAGATGCAGCAGTGAACTTATGTAGCATCAAAGGTGTTCATAATGGATATTGGACAAATGGATGATCTAGATAAAGGCCTATGGATTCTCACCAGAACACATCATGTAAGTATATGCGTTATTGTAACATTGACTCATAAAATGCCCCTACCCAGGTCACTAGTCAACGTCTAACAACAAGTGGATATGTGGTGCCAGTCAAATGCGTTAAATGTAACATTCGATGCCATGGCTGCCCTACTCTACACACACAGCAGAAAAGTGTGCTTTTCTCATTCTCTGATTCATATCCTTGTCAGTCGGTGCCGTAACTCGTCAATTGGGACTTTTGACTTCAGCTCAGGGCTGGCCCCAGGCATAAGCGACAATAAGCTTAGGAACTCAGTCGGGTCTAAACTTACTGTTGAGAGTTAGAATAGTAGAATACACAAGGTGTAAGTTCAAAATTTGGTTGTGCATCAGCAGTTTTTCTCTTGTTTTGTCAGTCACTGACAGTCACTCAATTAACCATGTCAGCTAACAATTTTTACATTGGTAAGTTAGTCTAGCCAGTTATCTAAACTTGTAGTAATCATGGTTGAATACTGAGCAGGCACACATGGCATGTGCCCAGGGGCCCTGACCTCCAGGGGGCCCTCATTGATTTTATAAGTCACTCTCACTCAGATATAATTAACATGGCATAAGTCATTGCAAAATGTTTAGAATGGCAGGAAATTAGCTTTAAAACTGCAAAAATGTATCTATGCCCCATGGCAAAATGAGTAGAATTGCTGTCCTCCTAACAACATTCTTGTTTTCTTCTTGGGCCATTAAGTAATTATCATAAGATTTCACAATTTATAATTGGTTTAGTTACCTATCTGAGTAATCGCGACCAATAGGCTGCTGAAGGCCTGCCTATAGCAGGGATCATCAACTAGATTCAGCTGCGGGTTTATTTTTTCAGATATAATATTTGACTAAAACATAATAATTTCAAACCTTGCTTACATTTGTATATGATCACATATATCTATCTCTATTAAATGTGCAACCAGAGGGAAAAAACTCTAGACCACCTTTACTCCACACACAGAGACGCATACAAAGCTCTCCCTCGCCCTCCTTCGCCCTCCGAGTGGCACAGCGGTCTAAGGCACTGCATCTCAGTGCTAGAGGCGTCACTACAGACCCTGGTTTGATTCCAGGCTGTGTCACAATCCGGCTGTGATTGGGAGTCCCATAGGGCGGCGCACAATTGGCCCAGCGTCGTCCGGGTTTGGCCGGGGTAGGCCGTCATTGAAAATAAGAATTTGTTCTTAACTGACTTGCCTAGTTAAATAAAAGTAAAAAAAAAAATAATAATAATAATAATAATAATTCGGACCATAACTCTATCCTCCTGATTCCTGCTTATAAGCAAAAACTAAAGCAGGAAGCACCAGTGACTCGGTTAATAAAAAAGTGGTCAGGTGACGCAGATGCTAAGCTACAGGACTGTTTTGCTAGCACAGACTGGAACACGTTCCGGGATTCTTCAGATAGCATTGAGGAGTACACCACATCAGTCACTGGCTTCATCAATAAGTGCATCGATGACGTCGTCCCCACAAGGAGCGGCACTTTCAAGGAGCGGGACTCTAACCCGGACGCTTATAAGCAATCCCGCTATGCCCTCCGACGAACCATCAAACTGGCAAAGAGTCAATACAGGACTAAGATTGAATCGTACTACATCAGCTCTGACGCTCGTCGGATGTGGCAGGGCTTGAAAACTATTACAGACTACAAAGGGAAGCACAGCCGCGAGCTGCCCAGTGACACAAGCCTACCAGACGAGCTAAACCACTTCTATGCTCGCTTCGAGGCAAGCAACACCGAAGCATACATGAGAGCACCAGCTGTTCCGGATGACTATGTGATCACGCTCTCCATAGCCGATGTGAGTAAGACTTTTAAGCAGGTCAACATTCACAAGGCCGCAGGGCCAGACGGATGTCAAGGGGTGCTGAAGGTGGGTGTGGTGCATGAATCAAGCGCAGGACGCAGAAGCTCAGTCCAAAAGACTTTAGTGCAATATTCACGTAGAAAATAAGCACAATCAGCCCGAAGGCGAAATAACGGCGCACACAGGCGTCAAACAAACGGCGCACTAACATGTGCGAAAACCTCTCCAAAACACTGGAGGGAAGTACGTAGCTCCAACACCAAAAACAGAAGAGCAATCACACACAAAGACAAACACACACAACGAGAACTAAATAGGACACTAACGAGGACTAACATGACACAGGTGTACAACATCAAGACAAAACCAAACGAACATGAAACATAGATCGGTGGCAGCTAGTACTCTGGGGACGACGACCGCCGAAGCCTGCCCGAACCAGGAGGAGGAGCAGCCTCGGCCGAAACCGTGACAACGGATTACCAGGACGTGTACTCCGAGCATGTGCTGACCAACTGGCAAGTGTTTTCACCGACATTTTCAACATGTCCCTGACTGAGTCTGTAATACCAACATGTTTCAAGCAGACCACCATAGTCCCCGTGCCCAAGGACACCAAGATAACCTGCCTAAATGACTACCGACCCGTAGCACTGACATATGTAACCATGAAGTGCTTTGAAAGGCTGGTCATGGCTCACATCAACACCATTATCCCAGAAGCCCTAGACCCACTCCAATTTGCATACCGCCCCAACAGATCCACAGATGATGCAATCTCTATTGCACTCCACACTGCCCTTTCCCACCTGGACAAGAGGAACACCTATGTGAGAATGCTATTCATTGACTACAGCTCAGCGTTCAACACCATAGTGCCCTCAAAGCTCATCACTAAGCTAAGGATGCTGGGACTAAACACCTCCCTCTGCAACTGGATCCTGGACTTCCTGACGGGCGCCCCCAGGTGGTAAGGGTAGGTAACAACACATCTGCCATGCTGATCCTCAACACGGGGGCCCCTCGGGGGTGCGTGCTCAGTCCCCTCCTGTACTCCCTGTTCACCCATGACTGCATGGCCAGGCACGACTCCAACACCATCATTAAGTTTGCCGACGACACAACAGTGGTAGGCCTGATCACCGACAACAATGAGACCTGGCCGTGTGGTGTCAGGATAACAACCTCTCCCTCAACGTGACCAAGACAAAGGAGATGATTGTGGACTACAGGGAAAAAAAGAGGACTGAGCATTCCCCCATTCTCATCGACGGGGCTGTAGTGGAACAGGTTGAGAGCTTCAAGTTCCTTGGTGTCCACATCACCAACGAACTATCATGGTCCAAACACACCAAGACAGTCGTGAAGAGGGCACGACAAAGCCTATTCCCCCTCAGGAGACTGAAAAGATTTGTCATGGGTCCTCAGATCCTCAAAAAGTTATACAGCTGCACCATCGAGAGCATCCTGACTGGTTGCATCACCGCCAGGTATGGCAACTCCTCGGCCTCTGACCGCAAGGCACTACAGAGGGTAGTGCGTACGGCCCAGTACATCACTGGGGCCAAGCTACCTGCCATCCAGGACCTCTATACCAGGCGGTGTCAGAGGAAGGCCCTCAAAATTGTCAAAGATTCCAGCCACCCTAGTCATAGACTGTTTTCTCTGCTACCGCACGGCAAGCGGTACCGGAGTGCCAAGTCTAGGTCCAAAAGGCTTCTCAACAGCTTCTACCCACAAGCCATAAGAGTCCTGAACATCTAATCATGGCTACCCGGACTACTTGCTCCCCCACCCCATCTTTTTACGCTGCTGCTACTCTGTTAATGATTTATGCATAGTCACTTTAACTCTACCCACATGTACATATTTCCTCAACTACCTCAACTAGCCTGTGCCCCCGCACATTGACTCTGCACCGGTACCCCCCTGTATATAGCCTCCCTACTGTTATTTTATTTAACTTCTGCTCTTTTTTTCTCAACACTTTTTTGTTGTTGTTGTTTTATTTTACTTTTTTATTAAGAAATAAATGCATTGTTCGTTAAGGGCTGTAAGTAAGCATTTCACGGTAATGTCTACACCTGTTGTATTCGCGCATGTGGCAAATAAGATTTGATTTGATTTGATTATGCGTGGGGAAACTTTGGAACAGATTTCCAAAATGTAAATCACTTGGAGCGGATTTGCTGGTGTTTTTTATTACCAACTATTATTATTATTATCATTATTATTTTCAGAAAACTTGGGGGGCCAAATAAAGTCCTCGCCAGTTGGAGAACCCTGACCTATAGGCTCAGTGAGACTGATCCTCTGACACATCACAGTTCAGCTGTCACGAGTCGCTTCCGATTCCCGCCACTGGTGATTCATGTAGCCGTAACATGTTAAAACGAAAAATGCTCTTGGCATCTGAAATGCACCTGGTCAAAGGCATGGGCATCGACGTCACTCCACAGGTGGCTTTTTCACACTTTGTTGTTGTTGTGGGTGTGGGTGTTCGTGCGGTATATTTGCCCCGCTGACACGTCTCTTCAGCGGCAGCTTGGCACAGAGAGAGAGGCAGAGATTTGATACGATCTCATTTCCACACCCAGCCAGCCATGCATTGTTCTGCCCTCTGCACTCTGTTGGTCAGTTTCTCCTCCTCCCTGAATGAATGGCTGTTGTATCTAATGTTTTCAGAATGGAACGATTAAACCCAGATTAAGGTGGGGTTTTATATAAATAGTTATAGCTCCAGGGGGTTGTTTCTGTAAATGAGCAACATTTCCCTTTTTCCCTTTTTTGGAGAACATCCTATGTTTTTTTCTGAAAAACAATTTGCATTGTGCAAGTGTTGTCTTTGCCCCTGAGATTGAGCAATCAATCTTCCGCAAACTGATGTGGCGGATATTATTTAATATTATAATGTGACAGTAAAAAAGACAATCTTGAGATAAAAACGAATAGTGAAGCTAGGCTAGGATACCTTGTTCAAATAAGGAATGCATTTTGTCCCCCTCATAGCCATTCATATTTATCTTGAGACATAAAATCATTTTGTTCAACTCAAACATTGACTTTTTTTCCCTCTATGCACCTGAATTTACCAAGTTGTTTGATGTAAATAAACATGAACAATCGGATCGAGGGCAGGTTGATATGTCTGACTAAAGTCCTGTTTTTGAACACTATAATCGGGACACGAGCGGATAATTGTTGACGTTTGAGCACCGCTTGCACTTGGTTCGAGGCGGGATTGGAGGATGATGTCACTTGTGTCTCGCAGTGGGAGAGTAGAGTGCGGGGGAGAGGGGGAGGATCGTCGGGGAGAGGAGGATAGCCAGTTTCAGGTACACTTCAACTTTCAAAACAAGTTTGGAGGGTTGTGGAGTGAGAAACCGGCAAAGCCTCGGAGCGGGATACATTGGGATTTTATAAAAGAAGCCGCTGGACAGATGAAAACTGATTTAAGGGAAAATGCATTGGGAACAAGTACTCCGATTGAGTAATGCCAAGGTGAGATAGATTAGATTGTGGTTTCCCTGTCCCTTGTCCTTTTACATTTAGCCTATCAGGTGGCATGGTTTCAATAGACTGCGCATTATAGTTTCGTGAAGGTGACTAAAACACCGGATGCTGTGGTTTTGTCTTTTAATCGCGTGATTACAGTGTGGTGCCTGTCCTCAATTATCATATTTGCGCAGGCAGGTGAGCAACTGGACGGTTTTTGTATTTCCCAACTTCGGCGTGTAAATACTTCCCAGTAAGCAAAATGAAGTTGAAAATACGTATTTTAGACGTATTTTCCAGATGTTGACATTGCGTGCATTTCAGGTGCTGAATGAAAGGCTTGAAGACCTATTTTCTAGATGTCGAAAATACCTATTTTCTGGACATCGAAAATATGTCTTATACTGACATTAAAACAATATATCTTAAATGGATGTAAAAAATACGTATTTTCAGGACATCGAAAATATGTATTTTCTGGACATCGAAGCAAGCTCTTATATGGACTTTGAAAAGACATACGGATATTGAAAATACGTCTTATAAGAACGTTGAAAATACGTATTTTTTGGATGTTGAAAATATGCATTTTTCTGTCATTGATTCTATGGACACATTTTTACTGCACATACATTCTCAATGAAGTAAGGGTTATATCACAATAATATAGGAAAGAAGGCGCCAACTGAACATTGCAACATAATATTTATTATTGCTCCCATTTGGCACATGCACTTATGTTACAGACCACTTCAACTACAATAACATTCTCAGTAAAGGTTACAGATTATTATTTTTTTGCTATGACTATGAATTATTGTTATTTATCTACCTTACTTGAATGCACTGACTGTCAGTCACTCTGGATAAGAATGCTGAATGACCAAAATGTAAATGTAAAAACAAACACTTACAAAGTGTGCTGGGTATTATTCTAATGAGCTCCACCACAAACAAGTGGATCTGGTCGGTGAGGACCAGATCCAAATCTTAACAGATCATAGATGTCTAGGCTATGTTTCACAAGTTTGAACATTACAGTACGGCAGTTTAGTACAGTAGAGCACAGTAGAGTGCAGTACGGTATGGTACAGGACAGTTGAGTTTATTCAGTACAGTAAAGTACAGTACAGTACAGTAGAATAAAGTACAGTACAGTTTAATTCAGTAGAGTACATTAGAGTCAAGTAGGTTACAGTACACTATACTTTACTTTTCTTTACTGTGTTACTTTACTCTAATGTACTCTACTGTATTGTACTGTACTATATTCTACTTTTCTTTACTGTACTGTGTACTGTACTAAAATGTAGTATTGTCAGGATACCAGAATTTTGACTTCGATACTGGTACCAGGTTTAGTATCACAATACTCAATACCATCACGATACTCAATACCAAAACGATACCCAAACGATACCACGGCAAAAAAAGAAGGCATATTAGCCAGAGTCACAGAATGGCACTAGATCCAGACAGATAAACTCAGCTACTGCTCTATTCAATCGTTGGGCATCTTTTGGGTTCAATATCATTACATTGGCATTTTATTGCATACATTTTTTTCAGTGACAGCCATGTATGCATTAATGAATCAATTATACAGTAATTCAATCAATTTGACTTGGTTTTTACCCATCTAATTACATAATGGCAATCATTTATTTGAATGGTAAATCTCTATTGATAAACTGGGTAAATCAAGATGTAGCCTAGGCCTATCCACAATATAGGTGAAGGCATATTCAATAGGAGTGTGTGCATGCATTGAATTATTGTGCTTGTTTTGGCTGGTTTCATTGGGCTACAGATAACAAACAATATGCAACTTACATACTTATTTTATTGTACTGATCAACAACATTTGTATAGAAGTAGCTTATTTTATAAAAATGTGCTCTGTCTCTTTAACCAGTAATGAAGTCATTCATGATGCAGTTATTTCACTGAGACAATAGATGATATTTGGCAGAGACCGAATAAGTGAATGAATAAGGTTTTTGATGGCAATCAGCTTTGAAATCGGCCTACTTTTTGAAGTGATTTGTTTGACAATCAGATGAAAACATGACTGGTTGTGTTCATGCCACATTAAAATGTTATACATTTCTACCATTAAATGATGGCTTTACTATTAGGCCCCCCAAAAAATAGAGGCTCCCCCGAATGTCACGGTATATTTCATACTCTGGACTCACTTTAAAATGTATGTCAAACAAAAACCAATGATTGCAAAGTTAAACCAACCACATAACTCTAAGCATATGGACTCCTTTTAACAATTTCCACAGAAAATTCTACAAAACCACATTTACTTGAAGAACAGTGCAGATGTAAAGTTCGATATCAGAATGATGGTTTGTTCTGTTCTGTTACCAAACTTTGCATCTGCACTGTTCAAGTAGATGTGGTTTTGTAGAATTTTCTGTAAAAATTGTTAAAAGTAGTCCTTGTGCATTGGTTTTTGTTAGACATATATTTTAAAGGCCCAATGCAGTCAAAAACCGGATTTTCCTGTGTTTTATATATATTTCCACATTATGAGAAGTTGGAATAATGTTTTGAAAATTCTGCTAATTCCCTTTTAGTGTAAGAGCTGTTTGAAAAGACCACCTGGTATTTCAGCCTGTTTGGGTGGGATGGAGTTTTGGCATGCCTGGTAAATTAGCGTTTCAAACCTCTCTGCCAATAACAGCTAGTTTTCAGTTTTCCCCTCCCCACTCAGACCACTCCCAGACAGTCGTAGCAAAATTCTTGACAATTTGGATTGGAAACAATAACCGTTACTGTGGAATTGCCTAAAAGCAAAGGTTGTCTGTGTTCCACAGACTTAGACAGGTAGACCTAATCTGTGTGAAACAACGTTGATGCTGTAATCACAAATCCAACATCCTGTCAAATGTGATGTGCAGTGGGCACACTTTAGTGATTAGGTTCAATGATTATCCACCACCACTCATGATTAACCTTTTTTGACTGAGAAGAACGGTTTGATTTCCTCTCTATTTTAGCCCACATGCCATGCTAAACAGTCAGTATTGGCTCTGGGCATATGGAAGGAAATTGGTTATTTTTCAGCTATTTTTTTTTTTTTTGGTGGAGCCCATGGTGTAGAAATATTGCGATCATGAATCACATACTTCAGAATGAGCTGACCTATAGAGGCCTCCCTGGCTGACACAGAAGAAGTCTCTCTCTTCCTCAGACCAACATGTCAGCAAAACCTTAAGAATGACTGAGCTTCCTCAATATGCAACTTACACTTTTTTAACTTCCTCTTCCTCTCCTCCAGATTGAGCGGTTGGAGGTGAGTGGCTTGGCTCAGACCTCCCAGGCCGTGTTGTGTGGGGCTGATGGGTCGTTCCTTGGGGGTGAAGATGGCACCCCAGACCCCCAGCGCACCAAGCAGGCTATCGCCCAGCTGCAGCAGAAGATCCTCAAGCTCACAGAGCAGATCAAGATTGAGCAGACGGCCAGAGACGACAACGTGGCCGAGTACCTCAAACTGGCCAACAATGCTGACAAGCAGCAGAGTGCCCGCATCAAACAGGTGAGCATTGTTTTATGATCAGAGTTATATTCGTTTTAATATGAAAGCACAAAACAACATGCAATGACAATACACAAGACAGGACAACTTTTACTGCATAACAGCACTGCTAAATGATCGAATATATGACTACAATATAAATCACCAAGATGTTGGGCTCAGGCACAGATCATCATTGTGTGTGTCAACCAGTCTCCTTGCTTGTTATATTTCACTGAGCAAGAAGGGCTGATTTATGCAATTACATTTTCTGTAACAAGCAGAGATATATGTGTACTATAAATGCATACGTGCTATAAATATTGATAGTATATATAAGTGTCCTATAACAGACACATAAGTGTCCTATATAACTGCAGGTGTTTGAGAAGAAGAACCAGAAGTCAGCCCAGACCATCCAGCAGCTGCAGAGGAAGCTGGAGCACTACCACCGCAAGCTGAGGGAGGTGGAGCACAACGGCATCCCTCGCCAGCCCAAGGACGTCCTCAGGGACATGCAGCAGGGCCTGAAGGACGTGGGGGCAAAGGTCACGGGCTTCAGCGAGGGCGTAGTGGACAGTGTCAAGGGAGGCCTCTCCAGTTTCTCCCAGGCCACACACTCCGCCGCCGCCGGGGTTGTCTCAAAGCCCCGGGAGATTGCTTCACTGTTCCGCAACAAGTTGGGCAGTGCCGACAACATCCCCGGGCTGAAGGACTCCTTGGATGACCCGTCAGGGGGCGAGGAGGGGTTGACAGGGGCCGGGGGGAGGTCTCTGGGCAGCGCAGGGCACCACCACCTGCAGTCCAGCCCCAAGTACGGCAGCGAGGATGACTGCTCCAGCGCTACATCGGGGTCAGCAGGGGCCAACAGCACCACAGGGGCCCCCGGAGGCCCCCCCAGCTCCAAGGGGAACACCCTGGAGAGGAGCCAGAGCTCCAGCCTGGACATGCTGCTGCAGGAGGTGCAGGAGGGCCAGGGGAGACTTGAGGAGAGTCTGGAAGGGCTGAAGAGTCACTATCAGAGAGACTACACTGTCATCATGCAGGCCCTGCAGGAGGAACGATTCAGGTAGGGAGGGAGAGGGAGGGAGAGGACATGCAGTTATCATGCAGGCCCTGCAGGACGAACAATTTAGGGACGGACTGACTTAACCAATTATTTATATAGACTCTAGATGTCTGACAGGGGGCGCTGTGTTGATGCCATTGTGCCTCCATCTTGGCACTCCCCGTCCATTGCAAAAAATATTTTGGAAGCTATAGAAATGCATTTATTAATGTCTACATTTGTTTTTGCCACATTTATTATATTACAGACACCTTAATGCATACTTTAAAATTATATTATTTGAGCTTAAAAAAACTAAGAAAAACGATATACAGTGCCTCCGGAAAGTATTCAGACACCTTTACTTCTTTCCACATTTTGTTACGTTACAGCCTTATTCTAACATTTATTAAATTAAACAATTTCCTCAGCAATCTACACACAATACCCCATAATGACAAAGCAAAAACAGGTTTTTAGAAATGTACATAAGTATTCAGACCCTTTGCTATGATCATCCTTGAGATGTTCCTACAACTTAATTGGAGTCCACCTGTGGTCAATTCAATTGATTGGACTTTATTTGGAAAGGCACATGCCTGTCTATGTAAGGTTCCACAGTTGACAGTGCATGTCAGAGCAAAAACCAAGCCATGAGGTTGAAGGAGTTGTCCGTATAGCTCCAAGACTGGATTGTGTCAAGGCACAGATCTGGGGAAGGGTACCAAAACATTTCTGCAGCATTGAAGGTCCCCAAGAACACAGTGGCCTCCATCATTCTTAAATGGAAGAAGTTTGGAACCACTAGGACTCTTCCTAGAGCTGGCCGCCCTGCCAAACTGAGCAATCGGGGGGGAAAGGGCCTTGGTCAGGGAGGTGACCAAGAACCCGATGGTCACTCTTACAGAGCTCTAGAGTTCCTCTGTGGAGATGGGAGAATCTTCAAGATAGGACAACCATCTCTGCAGCACTCCACCAATCAGGCATTTTATGGTAGAGTGGCCAGACGTAAGCCACTCCTCAGTAAAAGGCACATGACAGCCTGGTTTGAGTTTGCCAAAAGGCATCTAATGACTCTCAGACCATGAGAAACAAGATTCTCTGGTCTGATGAAACCAAGATTTAACTCTTTAGCCTCAATGCCAAGTGTCACGTCTGGAGGAAGCCTGGCACCATCCCTACGGTGAAGCATGGTGGTGGCAGCATCATGCTGTGGGGATGTTTTTCAGCGGCAGGGACTGGGAGACTAGTCAGGATCGAGGCAAAGATGAATGGAGCAAAGTACTGAGAAATCCTTAATAAAAACCTGCTCCAGAGCGCTAAGGACCTCAGACTGTGGCAAAGGTTCACCTTCCTACAGGACAACGACCCTAAGCACACAGCCAAGACAACGCAGGAGTGACATCGGGACAAGTCTCTGAATGTCCTTGAGTGGCCCAGCCAGAGGCCGGACTTGAACCCGATCGAACATCTCTGGAGAGACCTGAAAATAGCTGTGCAGCAACGCTCCCCATCCAATCTGACAGAGCTTGAGAGGATCTGCAGAGAAGAATGGAAGAAACTCCCCAAATACAGGTGTGCCAAGCTTGTAGTATCATACCCAAGAGACTAAAAAAGATTTAATCAATTTTAGAATAAGGCTGTAACAACAAAATGTGGAAAAAGTCAAGGGGTTCTGAATACTTTCTGAAGGCACTGTAAAAACATTTTCCTTAAAGTATAATTTTTTGCGATTACAAATTTTACTGTCCCCACTTCAATATATATAATTTTGTCCTTGAAACATTTAATTGAAATACTGTAGAATTCCATTCGTTCCTATGAAGGACTACTTCTACTGGGGAGTGCCAATAAGGCCGACCGGTGGCTTCAAAGCTTCTCATTGGCCAATACATTGCATCAGCAATCCAGGTTTTATATACATCGTTGTACTTTACACGCTGTATATGTAGAGAGAGAATGGAAGGAGAGTGCGAGAGCGTGAGATAGCCTTGTAGGAAAAACCCCACACAGAGATGTGTAAGGTTAACATTTGAAAGGTTATCGCAACATGTGTGTTTTTACTGAAACCAAACCCACTCTAATCAACAAAAGACAGATCGAAGCTTTATTGCCCTTAAAACTGAATTGTAAAACTAGTGACAGTATACATCATTTAGACGGAAAGATCAGCTCTAGACTACTAAAGTGTAGAGGTGTATTATTAATTAATTAATATGCCATTTAGCATACGCTTTTATCCAAAGCGACTTACAGTCATGCGTGCATACATTTTTGTGTATGGGTGTATGTACATAAACCTTTAATAAAGACACTACAGGAACAGAGGTCCCATTCAAGTCTATTTATTTGGCACTTTTTACAAAAACAGAATTGGGGGGGTTGTTATCAAAACGCTGAAACTCCCTTAAAAGCCTGCCAAGTGTAGGTGGCCAGGGAAAAGTCCCTGCTGTGGAGGAACCAGGAAGAAGCACTTGGCTGCAAACCAGTCCTGAGCACAAGGATCTTGTCCTGTCCTATCACAGAGCTATCTGAGGGCATGTGTTGCTATCTCAGGGCATGTTAGTCAAGGAACAGCACATTTAAACTCAGCATATATATAGATAGGGAGGGAACCATGACTGAACCCTGGTGAAAGGCAATAATGTATTGTATCTATTCAGTGTATTTTACTAAGTTTCAAAGAAACTGTGCTATAATAACATGTATTACTATATATTTGGCCTTTCTCAAAATAACCCAAACTATTACTCTATGTCATTAAATGGGTGTTAAGGTGTTAAAGGGATACTTTGGGATTTTGGCAATCCAAAGAGTCAGATGAACTTGTGGATACCATTGTTTTGTCTCTGTGTCCAGTATGACAGAAGTTCAAGGTAGTATCCCGAGCCAATGCTAACTAGTATTAGCGCAATGACTGGAAGTCTAAGGGTATCTACTAGCATGCTAGCAGATACCCATAGAGCTCTAGTCATTGCGCTAACGCTAGTTAGCATTGGCTCGGGAAACTACCTCTAACTTCCTTCATACTGGACACAGAGACATACAATTTTTATCCACGATTTCATCTGACTTGCGGAAGTAGATAAAGGGCCTCGTTGCCAAAATCCTGAAGTAACCCTTTAAGGCAGGGGTGTCAAATTCATTCCACGGAGTGCCGAGTATCTGCAGGTTTTTGGGTTTTCCTTTCAATTAAGACCTAGACAACCAGGTGAGGGGAGTTAGTGACCTTAATTCATCAATCAAGTACAAAGGTAGAGCGAAAACCCGCAGACACTCGGCCCTTCGTGGAATCAGTTTGACACGTGCTTTATTAAGATGTAAAGGTGTCAAGGTCCATTGACACTATGCATGTAATAATAATAATAATAATAATATAATAATAATATGCCATTTAGCAGACACTTTTATCCAAAGCGACTTACAGTCATGCGTGCATACATAAAAATAAAAAATAAAAATGTGTATGGGTGGTCCCGGGGTTCGAACCCACTACCTTGGCGTTACAAGCACCGTGCTCTACCAGCTGAGCTACAGAGGACCCTCACAAGCCAATCAATCAATGGGGAGAGTTTAAATGGAGGATGTAAACAAACAATAAGCCTTGTGTTGCTAGACAGAAGTTAGCATTAACTTAATGGAGGAGGACCGACAGACAAAGTTAAAGAAAGAAGGACACAAATTACTTGGAGTTAATTTAGCTTTCTGCCTATGGTTGTTCACACAGAGACAGTCTGTTGTTGTTTTTGTCTGTGTGTGTGTGTGGCCTGTACACTTTAAATAAACCACCAGCGTTCTTCCTGAATGGCGGGAAATAAGGGACAGACGGCAAGAGAGGGATGAGGAAGGAGGGGGGAAAAAATAGGGTTTGAGTAACGAGGAGACAAAAAAAAAATTAGCACAAAAATGTCCATCAGGGACCATAGTATGTGTGTGTTTTTTGTCTTTCAGGCTAAAAATAAGGTCCAGCAGAATGAGCTTTGAGCATGTCTTCTGCTGATGACCATGATCTGAGCATTGACCACTGTGTTTGAACCATTGTTAAGAATATGGAGCCTCCTACCTGTATAAATCCTAGAGGAAACTTTACCGGTAGGCTTGGCCTTTTGTTTTTTGTGCAGTCAGCAGTATTAGGATGGTACAGGGTGTTCTGCAGTAGCTTCCCCCTCCTCCCTCCCCTCCTCCACTCCCCATCCTTCCCCTCCTGCCTCCCCTCCTCCACTCCCCCATCCTTCCCCTCCTCCCCCATCCTTCCCCTCCTCCACTCCCCCATCCTTCCCCTCCTTCCTCCCCTCCTCCACTCCCCCATCCTTCCCCTCCTTCACTTCCCCATCCTTCCCCTCCTCCACTCCCCCATCCTTCCCCTCCTTCATTCCCCATCCTTCCCCTCCTCCACTCCCCCATCCTTCCCCTCCTCCACTCCCCCATTCTTCCCCTCCTCCACTTCCCCATCCTTCCCCTCCTCCACTCCCAGATCCTTTCCCTCCTGCCTCCCCTCCTCCACTCCCCCATCCTTCCCCTCCTCCACTTCCCCATCCTTCCCCTCCTCCCACTCCCCCATCCTTCCCCCCATCCTTCCCCTCCTCCACTCCCCCCATCCTTCCCCTCCTCCACTTCCCCATCCTTCCCCTCCTCCACTCCCCCATCCTTCCCCCCATCCTTCCCCTCCTCCACTCCCCCATCCTTCCCCTCCTCCACTCCCCCATCCTTCCCCTCCTCCACTCCCCATACTTCCCCTCCTCCACCCCCATCCTTCCCCTCCTCCACTCCCCCTTCCTTCCCCTCCTCCCCCATCCTTCCCCTACTCCACTCCCCCATCCTTCCCCTCCTCCACTCCCCCATCCTTCCCCTCCTTCACTTCCCCATCCTTCCCCTCCTCTACTCCCCCATCCTTCCCCTCCTTCACTCCCCCATCCTTCCCCTCCACTCCCCCATCCTTCCCCTCCTCCACTCCCCCCATCCTTCCCCTACTCCACCCCCCCATCCTTCCCCTGCTCCACTCCCCCATCCTTCCCCTCTCTCTGACTCACCTGTTGTGCTTCTATTCTCATCTTTTTATTGTCTGATTAACCACCAGAGCATGTGGGTATCGTGTGCGTGCAGTACCAGAGGGCAGAGTTGTAGATCTTATTAAAATGTGACTTTTAAACTGGTTAGGTAAGACATAATGAGATCAGACTGGTGGTGTGATTCACTTAATCACACACACACATGCATACACAGACAATCACGTCCTCCCTCTCCCTCCTGCTGAGTGTTTGTGATTGGTCTGTGTCATCCTGCTGATTATCTGCCATTGGTCAGTCTCATCAGCAGACGAGTAAGCATGTGCTAATCAGCTCACAGATAATCATCAGTCCAGTCAGGTATCATTCCACCTGAAAGCTCATTATTCTCTTATCCAGGAAAAACTGGAACCTGTGTTTGTCTATGGGGCATAGGTGCGTGCGTGCGTGCGTGCGTGCGTGCGTGCGTGTGTCTGTCTGTCTGTCTGTCTGTCTGTCTGTCTGTCTGTCCATCCGTATGTATCTATGTCTGTGTGAGCTGTTAGACTAACGTTTGTGTCTATATGTGTGTGTCTCTGTAGGTGTGAGCGTCTGGAGGAGCAGCTGAATGATCTGACAGAGCTCCACCAGAATGAGATCCTCAACCTGAAGCAGGAGCTGGCCAGCATGGAGGAGAAGATAGCTTACCAGTCCTACGAGAGAGCCAGAGACATACAGGTCAGTCACAGACATGCATACATGCACACACACACACACACACACACACACACACACACACACACACACACACACACACACACACACACACACAGACACACACACACACACACAGACACACACACACACACACACTGTACACAAACTAGATAGCCAGACAAATGTATGACTGTGATTCATTTCATAATCACAACTTTATCTGAAGAGAAACAGAAAGCCTTGCACAGTTATGAGGAATGAGGAACAAACCCAGTCAGACATAAGCCTGTGCTGTTTAATCTGTGTGTACGAGTACCAGGTTATTTTACAGTTCACTATTTACTAGGGCTTTCAAACGATTAAAACATTTAATTGAGTTCATCACAGGATGTGCTGTGAATAATCACGATTAATTGCAAATTCTGAATTTGCTCAAATTATGCTGTAATTTAAGATTTTTCATACAATAAACATTCCAAGAATATTGACATCTTGATTTTGTCTAAAGTAACAGTTAGCAAAATTAGGTAAATTGAGAAAGCACACTTTCTTTAATCTCAATGTCAACTTGTTTTTACATTGCATTGTTGTTTTTAGCTGTATAGATGATGTATTTGGGAAGTTTTCTGTGTATTCTGAACACTGTCAGACGATGCGATTTAATATAAATGAAGGAAAAATGTGTGCACTCAAATAAAAATATATTTGAGTTTAATGATTAACTCTGACAGCCCCAATATTTACCGGGTATTTCACATATATTATAGGGTGAGAGATAATAACACTATAATGACTTAATAATTAAATGTTGTTTCATTGGAATCCATAAGAACGAGCCCCATAATGTAACAGATGTTGTGTTGAGTTCTTTCAAGTTAGTGACAAAAAAGTAACCATTGTTTCAATGTAATGTCTTATTAAATACCAGGGCATTGCCACCTGAAGCAGGATTGTAAAATAAACTGTTGCTGAAAACCATGTCTGTGTACCATAACCACAGTGGGTTTGTTTATGTGTAAATGGACCATTTCCGTGTCTGTTACCCAGATCATATTACACATCTCTCTCCTCTTGTGGTGTGTGAGTGCGCGTGTGCTTATCGCCTTGTCTCTAACCTACATTTCCCCCTTTTGGCTGTAGGTGGTGCTAGAGTTCTATATGTAATGAACTTTGCTATTTGTCTGTCAGACACTACTGACTTTACTGTGTGTAGCCATATTGTGTACTAATATGTCTAACCTTTTTCTTTGCTCCTGTCCTGCAGGAAGCTCTGGAGGCGTGTCAGACGCGTATCTCTAAGATGGAGCTGCAGCAGCAGCAGCAGCAGGTGGTGCAGCTAGAGGGCCTGGAGAACGCCACGGCCCGGACCCTGCTGGGGAAACTCATCAACGTCCTCCTGGCCCTCATGGCCGTGCTCCTGGTGTTTGTCTCCACTGTGGCCAACTGTGTGGTCCCCCTAATGAAGACCCGCTCCCGGTCCTTCTCCACCCTTCTCCTCATACTCCTCTTCGCCTTCCTCTGGAGGAACTGGGACGCGCTGTCGGGATACACGCACCGTGCCCTGCAGCCGCCCAGATGACCGAGTGGAGACGTGTTTCTATGACTATGCGCGAGGGTGGAACTCTGTCCAAACACACACACAGGAAGCAGGAAGAGCCTAACTGCCAATGGGATGTGGTGGTTGTCTGAGGAATGAGCCTATCGGTTGAGCTCAGTGAGGCAGGATTTGGACTGAGGAGAAAGTGAGGGAAGGATGGAAGATGAGAATACCACTCAGTTATGACTTTTGTTTAGGAAGGATAAGACTTTGTTTACATTTTTGGAGATCAGAAATAGTGTTTATTTCTTTCACAGGATGCACCGTCATACTGTTTTTCTTTTCTTCTAGGGGTTAATCAAGTATATTATTGTCGTTATTCTTTTTTCTAACAATATCTTTTTTTTTTTTCTTTTTTTTTTTACATTTTATTCAGTACCATGTAGCGTTAAGCTCCTCCCACTCTGCACAAAGAGGAGCTTGTCAAGAAACTGATTGGACGTTCACCTCAGAGGCTCAGGCCCTCTGCAGATAAATGCTACTCTGATTGGCTGCCTTTCAGAAAGAAAGTGCTCTACCGGGCTGTTATTGGTAGAAAATGAAAAGGTGAACGAATGCCCTCCTCCCACTTTTTCCACCGCGATGGATTCTGAAATGAAAAGGAACCTTTCTACAGAGTACTCGTTGTTTCCCGGACACAAAAGACTGACGGACATTAATTTGAGTGTCACGCTAAGAGACTTCTCGTGCTTCCGTCTCGTGCTTCCGTACTGTTTCTACTAGCAATGATTTATGTCCTTTTAAAGTTGTCTTTTTTTAAATAAAAGGAGAGTAAATTAATTAGGAGAGGTAATTTTAATTAGGAGAGGTGATGTAATGGATGACTTTTAGAGAGTGGCACCAGCTTAGACAAGAGGGAGGGTTTGGCAGTTAGGGCCACTCACCACAGAGCCACCAGAGACCATAGGTACAAATAAGGCCACTTTGCAGGAAATGTGGAGTTGCCATTATATTGCTTTCACTGGTGCTCACCCATTGTGTCAGCTGAATTCCATGTTGAAAAGGCATAGACAACTGTCTCCACTGCCATGCTACTGTTGTTCAATGCACTGCCTGTATGACGAATGTGACTCACTCCATCACAATGGCTACGTTTAGACAGGCAGCCCAATTCTGATCTTTTTTTCACTAATTGGTCTTTTGACCAATCAGATTAGCTCTGAGAAAGATCTGACATGAAAGGATCTAATGTGATTGGTCAAAAGACCAGATAGTGGGAAAAAGATCAGAATTGGGCTGCCTGTGTATCTCTCCCTGCCACTCTCCATCTCTCTCCTCATTGCCTTGTTTTTTCCAACATACCCTATGTGCCAAAATGATCCTATTTCACATTGCCAGATCTGTGTGTGCTTTATTAGCCAACTCCTCTGACTCTCACAGTCATGACATGACAGAAGACTTGGCTAAACTAAGCACAAACTGATATGGGACCAGGCTAACAGAATATACCTTTACAAGGTTAAATCTGGGTAATTGCTCTGAGACACTCACTGCTAATAATCTGATGTGTGTTTCCTAATCCTGGTCCTTGATTACTGCTGAATATGATGGCTCTCTATCTCTATCTTATCCTACCATTCATCTGACCTTCAGTCGAACTAGCTGATATGAATGAGTACACCTAAAGTCCATTCTGAAGCTTGTTTGATAAAGATAATAACTTATAGTGGGAGCTGCAGACCAGCGTTCCGTAGTGTTAGGACCAGGATGTTCAGGATCATTGAAACAGTTTTAAACCAGAAACTGCACTGAATTTATTGTGTCAATCTCATCACTAAATAGGAATGAATTGAAGTCAATGGACATTGTTATTACACACCAATCAGTTTAAAGATACTGATCATTGTTGTGATCTTGAACGTGCCCCAGGTGAGTGGCTCCTGAGTTGACCTCTGACCTTGGTGTGACTTTGCCGTGACCTCTCTGATGCAGCGTGGTAGGGTAGGGTTGTGTGCTAAACCACTCCAGTGCCTTCTGATGTGGGATAATAAAAGTGCGTACTTGACTAACTCCTGGCCCCCTGACTTGTGTATGAGTGTGTGTTGAGGATGGGGGGGGCGAGGGTCAGTTGGGGTGTGTCTAGCGTATAGCTCTCTCGTAGGACTGGTAAGCGATTATGTCCACCATGCTGGCCAGCTCCTGCTTCAGGTTAAGGATGGTTTAGGTGTGTGTCCTTCATTCAGTTTGAATTGCTCATGAAATGGGCCAACAAGAGCAATTATTTAAAGCAAAGTAATGTTGTAAAACTGATTGTTAAACTGCCTGGACCACACTATGTCTGGATGAAATGTTTCATTGAGGAACAAAGTAGGCCGAAGCACTGATAGTGTTTTACAATGTAGTCCCCTGTAGCTCAGTTGGTAGAGCATGGCGCTTGCAACGCCAGGGTTGTGGGTTCGTTTCCCACGGGGGGCCAGTATGAAAATGTATGCACTCACTAACTGTGTAAGTCGCTCTGGATAAGAGCGTCTGCTAAATGACTAAAATGTAAATGTTTAATGTGAATTGATTATAGTGTGAATAAATCAGCCCTGTTGAAGTTCATTTATTAAGTCACTAGATGGCGCCTTAGTTGCCTGACATGAGATGATCTGTATGCTCAAAGTCATCAAATGTGTGTGTGTGTGTGTGTATATTTTTCCCATTCATATTCCCTATCTGTTCATGCACTACAATGTCAGTCCATATGGGGCAGATAGGCAGTGGAGTGTTGACGCAGGCCCCGTGGAGGTGTTGTTTCTTATCTGGCAGGAAACAGGTTGGTGGGCAGAGCGCAGTCCCAGTCCCCGGGCCTCAGAGCTCCACCACAGAGTAGAGAGCGGTAGCTGTTTTCACTGACAATAGAGAAAATAGCAGTCTCTCCCTCCAGAAGGCCCTCTCCTCACTGTGAGAAAAGGCTGAGGATTCCTGGTGAATGGAGGTGCTCCTCCCTCTTCTCTCTAGGAATAAGCTGAGCGAGAAAAGCGCGAGAAGGGAGGAAGGGAGCAGGCGCGCGGGGAGAGCGCGCGGGGAAGGCGAGGAGGCACAGCGCTGCGGAGCTCTCTGAGAGAAGTAGCGCACGAGGGGGGAAAGGAGAGAGAGAGAAAGAGAGGGGCAGCGAGAGGCCGCGAGAGGAGAGAGGAGCAGCAGAGAGAGGACGAGGCAGAGGAGACGAGAGGAGAGGAGAGAGCGAGCGAGAGAGCGAAGAGAAGGAGAGAGAGAGACGAGAGAGAGAGACGAGCAGAGAGGGAGGAAAGGAGCGGAAGGAGAGAGAGAGAGAGAGAGAGGAGAGAGAGCGGAGAGAGCGGAGAGCGAGAGAGAGGAGAGAAGGAGAGAGAGAGAGAAGAGAGATAGATTCGCATGATGGACATGCGAATTCTGATCTAAGTCATCCTCTCTCTGCTCTCTCTCTCTCTCTCTCTCTCTCTCTCTCTCTCTCTCTCTCTCTCTTTCTCTACGCATCAATACTGTTTAAATGCCTTTTCTTCATGCACCATATCCATATTGCATATATTATGAGACCCATGTATGACAAATAAGCCTACCCCAACACACACACACACACTTCCGTGAGGTGTCACGAATAATCGAGTGTAACCAGAGCGCAGCACTCTTCAGTGATATCTGATCCTTGACAGCAGTGACCCGTGATACCCCCCTCTCTCCCCAGTCTCTCTCCCCAGTCTCTCTCCCCAGCCTATCTCCCCAGCCTCTCTCTCCAGCCTCTCTCCCCAGTCTCTCTCCCCAGCCTCTCTCTCCAGCCTCTCTCCCCAGTCTCTCTCCCCAGTCTCTCTCCCCAGCCTCTCTCCCCAGTCTCTCTCCCCAGCCTCTCTCCCCAGCCTCTCTCCCCAGCCTCTCTCCCCAGTCTCTCTCCCCAGCCTCTCTCCCCAGTCTCTGTCCCCAGTCCCTTCCCACCCTCTCACTCTTAATGGAGCATTAGGGAGTGTGTTGGAGGGTGTGTGTGTAGGGTGTAGGCTTAGGCTAAATGTGTGTGTGGTGGAGACTGTTGGTCCTGCATTGCGATCAGTCAGCTGGTTCCTTATCAGACCGCTTTCCTGCTCCTCTGTGCTGTCCGATTAGATGAGGGTGAATGCGGTCCAACGTAAACACGCATAGACCCGGGCGGTGCTTATCAGCGCAAATAACATCGCCAAGTGGTGATGGGAGGCGTGCACGGACCTGAGAGGGACAGAGCAGGTCCCCTGTGACTGGCCAGAGAGAGAGAATGGTTCCAGCAGGCTTTGATAGTGTCCAAACTGGCATGATGCAGGGGTTAGAATGCGTTGGAATAGAACACAGCGATGGCCATCAAATTTGGGTAATTGTATTTACTTTATGTGGACCTATCTAAACCGCTCTTCAGGCCGAAATTACGCGCTCTCAGTTTGAGCTGTCACTTTTTGTTAAAAGTCCCACTGAGCTTTTCCATTGCATAGTTGTTCACAAGAAGCACTTCATTTCTGTTTTGGAAAAAAATTTGAAGTTTAAAGGGGCAATCAGTAGTTGAAATAATAACAAAACGAACCCCATCCCTGTTTCGCTAAAGATCTGAGGGATGGGGCCGGATAAATGTAACCACTCTCAAATTCATAGACAGAGCTATGGATGCTAGCACTGAATATCCATGATATCACAATTATAGTTTTAACCATGTTTTTAGGCTATAAAGTGTTTATTTATATTTACTTTGTTCACAAACATTGGAGTTAAACAAGCAGTAGGCTATATTTTGGATTCTGAGTGGGTACGACAGTAGAACTAAGCTCATGAGGCATTTATACGTTGTATTCGTCAAGAATCAATAGGTACATATCAAGTCCAAAAATTGATGTAGCAACTGCAGATTGTCCCTTTAAACTTAATCACACATTTTTGAGAGGTGCACATGTGTTGCTTTTGAATATTTATGAGGAGCAGACCCAAAAGCTCTGCTAAATAGATGTGAATGTCAAAAACCGGAAAGGTGCGCTGTGGTGCCCATCTGGTAGCACTTTCACGTAGCTTACCCCCACCATATGTGCGCAGAGCAGACGGAGCTCTCTGCGTATCTGCTGAACTAATCTGAGAACCAAGGGACCAACTGGCCTCAGGAGGTGAGAGCAGGACACGCCATTAACCCTAAGAGGAGCGGAACCACTGAGTTGGGATGACACATCAACTGGTCCATCTAAAATGAGTAGTCTGTTGTAGGTTTTTATTTGAGAAAATAGGCTATATTTTCTTCTCAAATTATTATTTCCCCTCAAATTCCTCTCAAATTATTATTTTGTTAAACATATTTTCCGATTATTTTATTATAGTTGTATAAATATATATATATATATATATATATATATATATATATATATAGAGAGAGAGAGAGAGAGAGAGAGAGGAGAGAGAGAGAGAGAGCAGGATAGATAATTAACAGTATTATTGTTCTGCCTTGGTGTGTGGAGGTCCATTACGCAAATAGCCTACAATTAGCATACCCTAATCACAACAATAAACTTTGACAGGAAAAATCTTAAATTATGAAATTCCAAGGCGTAGGCCTATAAGATTGAGAAGAATTCATGTGGAGTTTAGGATTGCAGCCGCTGGGCGCGGGGCTGCGGGTGGAGTGGGCAGAGAGAGGGGCAGCAGCAGCAGACAGCTCTGCGCTCTCAACTCTCCTCTGCTGTGAGCTGCGCTGAGAAAATAAAGCACGACTCTCTTATTGCGTCACTCTGTGTTTAAGCTTTGAGCAGGAAACAGCATTTCCTCTTAGATTGTCGCAGTAGGAACAAACACAATATTTTTTCCTTACTCAATGCACCCCTCTGCACAGAACACGCGGAAACCGGCCAGAAGGAAAAATGCCTCCTTCGGAGAAGATAGCAGTTCTGATTCTCGGCGTTCTGGTGCTGGAATCGCGCTGGAATGTCCACCACAGCCCCTGCCTCGCCAGCGCGCTACAGATCCAACAGGCGTTCGCCTCTCCAAACCAGACCAATAACTTTGTGGTGGATGAGGTGAGCAGAAAAGTCTACCTGGCTACGGTAAACACGGTGTATCAGCTTAACGGGACCCTGAGCGTAGAAGTGGAGAAGAGAACGGGGCCGGTGGAGGACAACCTGTTGTGCCATGCGCCGCAGCTGCCACAGGCGCCCTGCGAGCACCGCAAATCCCTCACCGACAACTTCAACAAGCTGCTCGAGCTGGACCGGGAGCAGGGGGTGCTGGTGGTATGCGGCTCGGTGTACCAGGGCTTCTGTGAGCTCAGGAAGATGGAAAACATCTCGGAGATAGCCGTGGAATTTCCCCCTCATGGCGAGAAGACCGTGTTCCCCAGCATGCTGAACATCGCCGCCAACCACCCCAACGCCTCCACCGTGGGGCTCATCTTCAGGAGCCACGGGGGTAACACCCGGCTCCTCGTCGGTGCCACTTACACCGGCGCCGGGACCCAGTTTTTCCCCAAGAACCACAGCAAGGAGGACCTGCGGTTCGAGAACACACCCGAAATCGCCATTCGGTCCCTGAACATCAATGATTTATCCAGGCTGTTCACCTATGACATCAACCCGTCCGAGGATAACGTCTTCAAGATAAAACAGGAGGTGAAGCAGAAAAATAAACTAAACTTCGTTCATGCCTTCATTCAGAAGAGCTACGCTTATATTGCTATCAACAATGACGCGAATATGGGCCACAAGCAGAGCCCGCCGAACAGCATCCTGGCCAGGATATGCCTTGACACTGAGAACCCCCGAAAATCCACCTCGGAAAGCCGAAAGCTCACTGAGTCCTTCATCCAGATGCCGCTCCAGTGTGGATATAACGGAAACATCTACAACCGGCTCGTCTCTGTTCACCCAGCGGAGATCCACTCGGGGACCGGAGAGGTGCTGGAGTCGCACCTCTTCGGAGTGTTCACCAAATCAGACAGAAAGTCTGCCTTGTGTGTGTTTCGGTTCTCAGACATCGAGGAGGAGATCCGCCAGGGCCGGAGGAACTGCTCCAACTCCCCCAGCAGCGATGTGCAGGTGCTGGACAGCGTCATCCAGGGCTCGGGCGCAGCGTGCGTACACAAAGGGAACCTGGTGGTAAGTGAAGCATGAAAACTATAATTTCATTTTGTTTTACACTTCAGTGAGATCTGTATGCTTGTTCATAATTGTGAGACTTGGTTGGAACTAATAATGTTTTGTATTATTTGATTTAGCCTAGATAAAGTTAGGAGTCACAATTACGCATGGAACGCGCAATACGGCACTGTTCGTTTCCCTAGTCATAAAAACATCCTGTTACATGCGGGTTTATTGGATTTGCTACTATAAATAAATAATTCCGCAAATATGTTGCTTTTGGCAACTTGGTATGACAGTTTCAATAATGAATCACCCCATATCATTTCTGGGGGGAAGGCTCCCATGTCACGAGCGCAGCCCAGGGCCGTGAATGTGTGAAGGATCTTCCTAAGCACGCGAAGGTTATGGGAACCGTGCGGGGTACTTGTGTGAAAGTCTCATCCGCGCCAGCTCATTCAAGCTTAGGCCTATAGCCTATTGCATGTTGGAGAGGAAGAATGGACTTATGTTATTTTTTTGTTTTTTTTAAAGAAAACATTCGTTTGCCATCGATTCACAACACATTAAATTAAATCAAATGTAGGCTAACTTTTGAAAAAATTCCCCTGGGCAAATTGATTACTTCACTACGAAAAATATAGTAGGCCTCTTTATTTTATGAGAAGCAGTGTTAAATAATCTAGGTTAATCAGTGTTGGATCTTGTTGTGTCAAATAACATAACACATTCTGTCAGATTCTTTTTAAAGAAGTAAAAAACAGATTTTACACATGTAATTGAAGAAGAAAAGTGTATTCTTATTACTTTATAGATCATATCTATAAATGCTGTTACTTTGACACTATAAAGCCCCACTCCTTATTATTTAGGCTAAAGGGGCCCTATTAAAGGAAGTGTCTCATAACATGAAGTCTTTATGCCGTTAGCGGCATCTGAGGAATGTGAAATTCCATATTTTCATTGTGGTGAGATTGACAGATCGCTAGTCGTGACAAACAGTCTGTCTCCAGACCACTGTGTTGACAGTCAGGTCGTAAAGATGTGGGGCTCTCCCATGAGCGGTGTTGTGTCGTGCTGGCCTACCCTGTAGCCTCCGGTAACCAGATTAGAAATCCCGACCGACTCTCGGTTTCAGCCCGTGTTTCCCTGAGGCTTGCGAGTCTGCAACTTGAAGTGGTTGTGTTTTTCGTGAAGAAGGTCAGCATTGCCATGAAGAAAAAAGGGTTTTCTCGGTTTTGCTTTTAGTTTGCTGTGACCAGGGAAATCTGATCTTTTTGTGGCGTTTCTGAGGGCCCTCCATTGAAGGAAAGCCAAAGACACAATTTATGAAAAGCACAGAGGTCGAAAGTGGAGCGGCTCGTGGGAAAGATCTCTCTCTCTGTTGATTTCTACTTCACGAGTTCGTATTCGAGTCCTTACTGCTACTTTGACCTCCAAAAGACCCTGGACATTCCGTAGTGGAAGTCATCCAAGCATTTGAATCGAATGGAATGAATGTTATGATATATACTCAAATTGTCATTTTCACATGCTAAATGTTGACCTATAGCCAACATGCCTCAACATTTAGAGGGAAAATTGGCAATTCTCAAGAAGACATAGCTTTTTAGCTTTTGGTAGTGTTCTAATTACATAATTATTACAGATTAGCCTATAAAAACAGAAGTGTCCAATAATGGTGTTGCACTGTTTTGGGGATATTTTTCTTTCCATTGATATTTTTCTGCCTGCCGATATGTGTGCCTGCCTGTCTCTCTTCCTGTAAATTGAGATACTTTCTCTCTGTCTGTCAGCTGCAACCGGAGCAGCTAGACTGTGGAGCTGCCCACCTGCAGCACCCGCTGGCCCTACGGAGGCCCCTGAGGGCCAAGCCCCTGTTTGAGTCCCTGGGCCTCAGCTCGGTTGCTGTGGACGACATACACAACCATACCGTGGTGTTTCTGGGCACCAGCACCGGACGACTGCGCAAGGTCAGAGGAGATGGTTTACTGACATAATAAATCTCTCAGGAATATCCACATTTATAAAAGAGAGAGAACAGTGTTTTATTTGTTATCATTTTTGTCTTGTAAAGGAAAAAATATACAGCTGCTAGGCCTACTACCTCACAGTCCAACTATGCTGCAGGAATTTAAGAACAAACTGAATGTGCCAGAGATATTCAGCCATTCTTTTATTCAGGGATGTATGACATTTATTGAAAATAAGTTAAAGTGTCAGGTGTAAATTACTATAGAGCTGGAACAGCAGGGAAAGGGGATAAAAAAAAAAAGTAAAGGGGTCATTCCACTTATTATGTGTCTTTTGAGTAATGTAACTAAACATTTTAATTTCACTTAATTTTAACATTCTGTCATAAAGAGCACGTTCAACGTAATAAAAAGTATGTTTTCCCATTTCAAGAGGTTCAATACAAAAATGACTATAGTAAGTGCCCATTTAGTGCCAAATAAAGTAACATGGTTGACCATAACAGGGTTGACGACTTGATTTTAAATCATCCATAATCATCCTCCAATTTTGAAATTGTTAAAACATTTCTAGCCTTTCTATCTATGGGTAACAGGGTTGACATGTTATGCTCGAGCCGCTCAGTTTTCCACCACAAAACACCTGAAAATTGCCAAAAAGAGTAGAACCAGTTCACCTGCTTTTACACTATGATTTGACTATTAGATGAAAAAAATATTTTAAAAGGAATAGTTTCACCATATTAAAACGAGAGTTCAGTTCAGGTAACAGGGTTGACCTTAAAATGAGGGCTGTTTTTTTTTATATATACCTTAAAATGAATCACTTATCACATTAAATAAATAATAATCTTCAGAAATGACTTTGTGAAAGCAACAAAATAACTAGGGCTTTACAATGATGGTGAACACCTGGATAAATGTTGGGGTTAAGTGAGTTAAAATCATCCTCGAAGTCAAAGAGGATGCACAAAGGGACATGTCAAAATGCAGGATTTTGGCACTTTAGCAAGTCTTTATTCATATAAAAAAACGGATTTATTGAATTTTCCATGTGATCTATAAAATGCACTTAATTTAATATAACAGGCTTTTAAAATTCTATGTTTGTGCTCAATTTATACTTACAATATGAAAGTAGATATGGCAAAAGGCACTAATTTTGTGGAATGTCCCAAAGAATAAAGATGAGACATTGTTAAAATCAGAAAATAACTGAGAAGTAGGTCTAAGAGGTTCTGACATTCGTTGTACAGCTAAAATGCAAGGCACAGTAATAAAGAAAGTTCCCGTACGACATGACTGACTGTCAGTGTTGGGGAGTAGTGAACTACATGTAGTTCAACTAGTAATTAACTACATTTTGCAGTAGCTTGTTGTTAATCATTATTTTGCCGTGTAGCTAACTACTGGAACTACACCCTATTTATTTAGCAAAAATAAAATATTGGTGATGTAGGCAATAATTTCCTTTATTTTTCAGCACCAGACCTGCCTAATTCTCACTTGAAACATCGTTTTTGTGTTTAATAGGCTAAATTAAACATTCTGTTAACATATGACCCCAAAATGATCTGTTCTTGCAATTTGTAGCTATGACATTTTCAGATTTGCATATGATAATTTTTTCACAAAGTAGTTTGAATGTAGTGAACTACTTTTTTCAGAGTAACTTTAGTTAAGTAAACTATATTTTTCTTAAGCTTTAGTGTAGCTTAACTTCTTCCATTGTGAAGTAATTGGTAGCTTAGTAAACTATATTTTTAGAGTAGCTTCCCTAACACTGCTGACTATGTAGTGGGTGGTTCCATGTCATATCAGCAAGCCATGACACCCATCATCTCATATTGTTCTGACATCATTTCTGTAGTTAGAAAAGTATAAGATTAGTGTTCCTGCAACATTATTTTGTTGAAATATAAATTAATCTCAGATAAATTAAGCTAATTGATTGCACTTAAATTGATCACTTTTTACTAATAATGAGAAAGACATGAGGACTTCTAAGAAATGGTCAAAAGTCACCCACGGACCCCCCACACCCCACGCCAATTCCACAACAGCAACGAGTATACATGATCAGTTCTCTATGTCTGACAAGTAGTATGGAGCTGCGGCTAGGAGTATTGTTTCTTCATCCTATGTAATGTATTCCCAGAGAATTTGGTGATGCTTTTGACCATTTCTTTGAATTCCTCATGTCTAACTCAATGTTAGAAAAATGTTTGCTCCAAATCAGATATTAGGTACTATATTTATTGAACATTATATGAATCCTGTAAATTAAAACGGCCAATTTTGGGTGCAATCAATTAGCTTAATTTCTCAGAGATCAAATTATTATATTGCAACAAAATAATGTTGCAGCAATGCTAATCTTATCTGTTTCTAACAACATAAACTATTTCAGAACAATCTGAGAAGTAAGTGGGTGTCAAAATCCTCTTTCTTGTGCTTTTTGAGGTGGAATGACCCTAGTACAAGGCGAGCGCATCTGCCGCAAGGTGAGGAAAGGTGGGCAGAATTGAGAGAACATTTGCTTTACTGTGGGTCCTGGTTGAAGGTTCAGGTTGAAGATAAAGTGATGCACTATGAATCCATCTCAGCCATTGTGAATGAAAACGTCTGCTTTGATTTTAGGTAATTTTTGGTGTGTCCAGATGTGGTACGCTATCCCTGATGCAGTAAAAACAAGCATAAAAAATTAAAACGAAAGAAGAAGTAAGCTTTATCCAACATCTTTTTGAGTGCGGGCCCATCACAATTTCGTGGCCACCGAGGACGGGTGGGGATTTAAGGTAGTCCAACCCTCTTTCCCCTTTCATCTATGGTGTAACCCTGTTAAAAATAGGTTAAACTGTTTTTATCACTACTTATCTACCAGACCTGGTTATTCTACTAACTAACACACAACAGAGAGCTACTTCTAAAGGTGGGGATCCATCATGATGTGACTCACTGTCACACAGTGTGTATTTAAGGGTCCGTCTCTCTAATTGTTCAGCCTACAGTCTGGGAGCTCAGCTGTAGAACATCTGCTGCCGCTGCATCCTATGAAAACCTCCCTCCTACAATTTACAGAATTCCTTAATGATGTGTCAGTAGCACACCAAGTCACCCCTGACTGAGCTAACAGACTAGAGAAGCTATGACACTGAGCTATACCTCTACCTCTCAGCAGTCTCTGGTAAAAACAATAAAACCCAGTCTGAAAGCTTTCTGACCATATTGTTTTGAATTAGACTGGTACCTTTTACAACATTAGAAATATGTTGCTGGAGGGTGTCTTGTTTTAGGCCTCCTAAAAAAGCTTTCTGATTTGTTTAGCCTGTTCTGAAGATAATTGGTCATTGGGATGCTTTGTGTTTATGCCGGATGTATGGTGGTGGTTAAGGTGGTTTGTGTGTGTGTGTATGTGTGTGTGTGTGTATGTCCACATGGTCTGCCTGATTGCATATTTAGGTTTTGGATGTGTTTTTTTTTTTTGGGGGGGGGGGGGGGGGGGGGGGTGTCTGCCTGTGTCCCTATGCAACTGAGTGAAAGGGGTTTGGTGTTTACCCAGTGTGCACACCCCATACCCCATGATTATGTGCTGCGTGTCTTCTCACAGCATTTGTGTTTATGTGTGTCTGTGGGCATGTGTGTGGGTGTTTGTGTTAATATGGAGCATGTAGTGTGTGTTGCCTGGGGCACATACAGTATGTATGATGCGTGTGTTCATGCTCGACACACAGTAGGTCTATGTGTGTTTTATGCTAAGTGTGTGTGTGTGTGTGTGTGTGTGTGTGTGTGTGTGTGTGTGTGTGTGTGTGTGCGTGCGTGCGTGCGTGTGTGCATTTAGCTGTGTGCGTGTTTGCCTTGGGGGCAGCTCCGTAACAGAGTATAATGGTACTGTTAGTGTTTGTAATGTAATTCTGGCTGTGAGCTTGGCTCGGACTGAGTAGTACAGAGTACAGAAAAACAGTAGAGATTGAGTTAGGCCTCTGCTACTGGGGTTAGGAGACCCTCAATGAAGTAATTACAGACATGTTTAACTAATTCTGCCTCTCACAACAGCAACACTGTCCCTCTATTTTACTATTTTTCTCGCTCTCTGTCTCACTTTCGCTCCCTCTCTCTTTCTCTGTCTCTTGTTTATTTCCCTCTTTCTTAACCCCCTCCCATCTCAATATTTCTTTCATTGCCCCCCCCCCCCCAACCCCCCACCCACCACCCACACGCACACCATCCCGACACGCACAGAGAGAGCTTGGAGCAGCTGAGTACTCCTGAGTTGAACAGTCTTTCATGTTGGGGCAGACAGACAAAGAGAGAGAGGCAGTGAGTGACCTGCCATTATGCAGGTGTTTTGTTGTTTGACCTGGCTGTGTCCTGTGCCATCTCACCCCTCCAACGCTTCCTTCTGTCTGCCCAGGTGGCTCTCTATTGTGACCCTGTTTGATCTTTATTGGCATGCCTGTGTGTGTGTGCGCACATCTGTGTGCCTGTGTGTTTGTGTGTGCATGTTCATGCTAGTGCTCATGTATATGTGTGTGTGTGTGTGTGTGTTTGTGCGTGTGTGCGCGTGCCTGCGTGTGTGTGTGTTGTGTTGTGATGTGTTGTGGTTGGTCACTAGAGAAGTAGCCCAGTCTGTTTGAAACCAGGGAAGTCACTAGCTGTTTTCCTCAGAATGGCAGGATGTCCATTGAGCTGAGACAGAAACCACAACCATTCAGAACAACAAGCTCTCTCACTGTCTGTGTGACAGGAAGTCACAGCCTTAGTATTTATTTTTCTATGGAAAAATGTGTGTGTGTGTGTGTGTGCATGAGTGTGTATGTGTGAGTGTGTATGTGTAAGAATTCCAAAGACTTCATCATTTTCTATAAAGTGTTGTGTGTTTGCCTGTATGTGTGTGTGACTTACAGTGGTAGTGTGACTTAATGTTAAACTGTGTCTTTTCTTAAAAAAGCATTTAGTTAGATGACAATTCCAGTATCTCAATGCAGTCCTTTCAAGAGTGATTTCTGCTGGAGTTGACTAAAGTCATGTTTGCTTAGTCCCCAAATCACAGCCCAGTGAAACTGTGTAGGTGTGAGACAAGAAACCAGAGCAGAGCTAGCATGTTCTCTCATTTACTGTATGAGTTAGAATGATGCGTCTCACGGGAGGGAGAGAGGAGCACAGATGGCCAAGGTAATGAATCTGCTTACCTTGGAGAAGTAGCTTACTGCACATCAGCACTGCCATGTAGTGTGCCTTTGTGTTAATACTACAAACACACAGAACTTACCTTTTAGGTAGGAAAATACAAAAAGGGCTTAACAAATGAATTCTATCAAATAGAAAACAAATCAAAGTTATTGTTTAAAACTTTGCAGACTATTGTTGTAGGATTATATGGTGTTTCTATCTTTCTAAGCACTCTGCCTTTTGTCCCACAGCTGACCCTTCTGAAGAACCTGACTGTGGCCAATCAGTGGGCTCTGAAGCTCCCAGCCGGCGAATCAGTGCACCACATCATGACCTTTGACCCCATGGACAGGAACTACCTGTACCTCATGACCTCTCACCATGTAAGGCTGTGGGATCCCTACTTTTATCCATCAACTAGACTCAGTTAGACTGATTCATGTTCTCACTGATACTGGCATTGGTTTAGTTTGTTTGTTTGACATATGCACTGGCGATTTTAGCATGTAAATCTTGGTGGGGCAAACTCCCCCCAAATGTGTTAGATGCATGCCAGCAAAGCCACTACACAACACAACACAACACTAAACAATACATTAATTGCACTATAACGGTGACAAACGGTGCCCAGAAACGGTTAGGGCCTACAAAAAGCTGTCCCAACAGCAGAATCCCAACAGCAGTCCCAACACCTTACCACTGCTACACCTGGCTATCAGCGGAGCCTTGTCTGGCAGCAAAACAGTTCATTCAGCCTCATTTACTGCCTTTAAAAAAAAACATAGCTGATTTGGCTGACTTGCTTAAACAAAGGTGGTTTCTACTGACAATTTAGATGTACAAACTATGTCATAAGGGGACGACGAGCGGATAAAAGGCAATCCGTAATTTCAATTAAGACATTAATGAGCGAGCTAGGACGGACGTAGTCAGTATAACTATTTGGATTTCAAGACAACTGGGAACTCAGGTTGAATCATGATGACAATGATCTTCAGGTCGGAGTTCTAGAAAGAGGCCCGAGTTCCCGACTTGCAATTCCGAGTTGGATGACCGCTCAAAACAATTTTACCAGTCGGAGCTAGTTTTTTTCAGAGTTCCAAGTTGTCTTGAACTCACTGAAGTCTGAGATTTCCCAGTTCCTGAGTTTCCAGTTGTTTTGAATGCGGCAGAAGTCATGATGGATTGACAGCATGGCCAATGTTGAATGTTTATCCTTTTAAGCTTGGAAAATAGACCCTTAAACCCAGACTTGGACCACACACCCACTCCACTGAATAGCAGGCTAGTGATTGCTTTGCAATGCTTGCAGTTAGCCACTGATTCCTTCCAAACCACTCATTGTTGAATTTGCGATTTCCAACTTGTTGTGTAATGTTTATGTCCAATGGCCGTTGAGCACTGATACGTTTTATCTATAATTTCTTCATTATTTTTTTTCATATGACAATGATTGAAAAGGATTTGCCAGTAGATTGTCGACTTTATTCATGATTTTGAAGGTATGATGTTGACATGATAAGTCCAATCAAAGCTACGGTAGATACAGTGAGGGAAAAAAGTATTTGATCCCCTGCTGAATTTGTTCGTTTGCCCACTGACAAAGACATGATCAGTCTATAATTTTAATGGTAGGTTTATTTGAACAGTGAGAGACAGAATAACAAACAAATAAATCCAGAAAAACGCATGTAAAAAATGTTATAAATTGATTTGCATTTTAATGAGGTAAATAAGTATTTGACCCCTCTGCAAAACATGACTTAGTACTTGGTGGCAAAACCCTTGTTGGCAATCACAGAGGTCAGACGTTTCTTGTAGTTGGCCAGCAGGTTTGCACACATCTCAGGAGGGATTTTGTTCCAGTCTTCTTTGCAGATCTTCTCCAAGTCATTAAGGTTTCGAGGGCTGACGTTTGGCAACTCAAACCTTCAGCTCCCGCCACAGATTTTCTATGGGATTAAGGTCTGGAGACTGGCTAGGCCACTCCAGGACCTTAATGTGCTTCTTCTTGAGCCACTCCTTTGTTGCTTTGGCCATGTGTTTTGGGTCATTGTCATGCTGGAATACCCATCCACAACCCATTTTCAATGCCCTGGCTGAGGGAAGGAGGTTCTCACCCAAGATTTGAAGGTACATGGCCCCGTCCATCGTCCCTTTGATGCGGTGAAGTTGTCCTGTCCCCTTAGCAGAAAAACACCCCCAAAGCATAATGTTTCCACCTCCATGTTTGACGGTGGGGGTGGTGTTCTTGGGGTCATAGGCAGCATTCCTCCTCCTCCAAACACGGCGAGTTGAGTTGATGCCAAAGAGCTCGATTTTGGTCTCATCTGACCACAACACTTTCACCCAGTTCTCCTCTGAATCATTCAGATGTTCATTGGCAAACTTCAGACGGCCCTGTATATGTGCTTTCTTGAGCAGGGGGACCTTGCGGGCACTGCAGGATTTCAGTCCTTCACGGCGTAGTGTGTTACCAATTGTTTTCTTGGTGACTATGGTCTCAGCTGCCTTGAGATCATTGACAAGATCCTCCCGTGTAGTTCTGGGCTGATTCCTCACCGTTCTCATGATCATTGCAACTCCACGAGGTGAGATCTTGCATGGAGCCCCAGGCCGAGAGAGATTGACAGTTCTTTTGTGTTTCTTCCATTTGCGAATAATCGCACCAACTGTTGTCACCTTCTCACCAAGCTGCTTGGCGATGGTCTTGTAGCCCATTCCAGCCTTGTGTAGGTCTACAATCTTGTCCCTGACATTCTTGGAGAGCTCTTTGGTCTTGGCCATGGTGGAGAGTTTGGAATCTGATTGATTGATTGCTTCTGTGGACAGGTGTCTTTATACAGGTAACAAACTGAGATTAGGAGCACTCCCTTTAAGAGTGTGCTCCTAATCTCAGCTCGTTACCTGTATAAAAGACACCTGAGAGCCAGAAATCTTTCTGATTGAGAGGGGGTCAAATACTTATTTCCCTCATTAAAATGCAAATCAATTTATAACATTTTTGACATGCGTTTTTCTGGATTTCTCTGTTGTTATTCTATCTCTCACTGTTCAAATAAACCTACCATTAAAATTATAGACTGATCATTTCTTTGTCAGTGGGCACACATGCAAAATCAGCAGGGGATCAAATACTTTTTTCCCTCACTGTATAATGTGATTTGACGTCATTTTATCTGTGGCCAATGACCTTGAGCCTTCTTGGATGGGCACTTCTAATGTAACTCTATGGCAGCACCCAAGGGGCTTGAATTTTCGAGCTCTCCCCGTAGATTTTGCGGTGATGTAGTGTGCCCATGAGTGACAGAACACTGAGCCAATCACGGCGTAACTAAAGAACATTACCAATCCCTACGCTCTGTATTTTCCGCTGGCTGCCCCACCACCACAGAAAGCACTGAGCTAGGCTGAAACACTTGCATTTTGGAGCTGCCTTAATCAAGAAAGCAAAAAAGAGACCATGTTTGTATGCGGCTTTATTAACTAAATTGTATTACTTTTTTTTTTACATTGTTTGCAAACTGATATGTGACACGTATTAATGCCCAAATAACATGCAAAACAGGCCAAAGAAAAAGCTTAACAGCTAAAAGCTAAACATGTGGGGCTCAAAACAGCCCTGAATGACGGGTCGCCACTGGACATATGTCATTTGTTTTCATTATGCATTTTCCTGGTTGTGCATAGTGTGTGATCATATTTTTTACATAAAACATATATATTCTTTAGCATTTATTACAGTTTTCCGAATATGTTATATCAGATCCATTCACTTCACCTCAGATAAATGCAACTCAATATTAGGAAGGTGTTCTTAATGTTTGGTATGCTCAGTGTATTATGTATGCTGTTGAGTGTATGTATGTGTGGTTCTGTCCATAGCTCCTGAGGGTGAAGGTAGCAACATGTGGCCAGTACAGAACCTGCAGTGACTGTTTGGGGGCTGGCGACGCCCACTGTGGCTGGTGCACACTAGAGAGCAGGTAAGAACCCGCAGGTTGACATTTATTGTCATGAATCTTGCCCTGGAGGCAGAACTGAGCGATTTCCACTAGATGGGCCAGCTGCACAGTCAAAATTCATGAAAACTTGTCGCTCTTAATTTAAGGTTAGGGTTAGGCATTAGGGTTAGCAGTGTGGTTAAGGTTAGGGTTAAGGTTTAAAATCTGATTTGATGACTTTGTGGCTGTGCCAGCTAGTGACCACTCCTCTGTAGCTCAGCTGGTAGAGCACGGCGCTTGTAACGCTAAGGTAGTGGGTTCGATCCCCGGGACCACCCATACACAAAAAAATAAAATAATGCACGCATGACTGTAAGTCGCTTTGGATAAAAGCGTCTGCTAAATGGCATATTATTATTATTATTACATCCAGAATAAGATTCATGGTGAAAAAACGCTAACCTTTGTAAGAGCCACCGCGGCCACCCGTGTAAACCAATCAATCAATCAATGAGTTAATATATCAATCAATCAATATATGAATCAATTAATCCACAGTTTAGAGTGATAGTGTTAGGAGTGATATTGGGAGTTGCATGGTAATTTCATCCAAAATAGCCAAAACCTGTGTGCCTGAAAGAAGGACCATGTTAGAGAGTTGATGATTAATGTTAAAAGAGTGGGTAGTTTAGTGAGGAGTGACTGTGTAGTTTACTATAAAATTACTGTAAGAAGTGGTGTTGGAGTAAAGTTTTATGGTAATTGCTGTGAAAGGAGTGAGAGTATAGTATGATGAATGTGGGTCTGTCAGGGATGTGGGTCTCTTTCTCTCTCTCTCTCTCTCTCTCTCTCTCTCTCTCTCTCTCTCTCTCTCTCTCTCTCTCTCTCTCTCTCTCTGTGTCTGCCTGTCTCTCTTTCTTTAAGCCTAAATGCTATGTTGGTTATGGCTTGGTGATAAAAGCAGATCAACAGATGAGAAAGGGGGTTAGTTATGTGCTGGGCTGACATGGCCAGGGGGCACGGAGGGAGGGAGGGAGGGAGGGAGGGAGGGAGAGAGAGAGAGAGAGAGAGAGAGAGAGAGAGAGAGAGAGAGAGAGAGAGAGAGAGAGAGAGAGAGAGAGATAAATGTTTGAGGACTGAGGACAGATTTGAGGACTGAGCAGAGAGACAGAGGCACAGAGACAGACTCTAACACTGTCTGTCCATCTCTCATCTCTCTCACCTCTCTTTATTTATCTATCTTCTATTTATCCCTCTCTCCCTGTCTGTCATTCCTTTTTTATTTAGTTACTGTTAGTTACTGTTATCTTTTTGTCTCATTTGCTCCCTTTCTATGCTCTCATTCTCATGTCTGTCTTTGAATCTGATCATCCTTCTCTCTTCCTCTTCTCCTCTCTTTGTTTTGTCTCAGTCGTCTCTGTGTTATTCCATGGCGGGGT